CTCTGAAGCCCTCAAGAGTGATGTGAACCTTAATAAAGGATTTCTCTGAAGAAATCCAAGGTTGCTTCTGGCAGTGCAACTACTTTAAGCTAATTTAAAACTACACACGTAAGCGTTTCTGTGTCAAAGCACATAGAATCATAGATTCATTAGGGTTGGAAAGGACCTTAGGATCATCTAGTTCCAACCCCCCTGCAGTGGGTAGGGACACCTTACGCTAAGTCATATCACCCAAGGCCTCGTCCAACCTGGCCTTTAACACTGCCAGGGATGGAGCATTCACAGCCTCCCTGGGCAACCCATTCCAGTGCCTCACCACCCTAACAGGAAAGAATTTCCTTCTTATATCCAACCTAAACTTCCCCATAGGTAAGAACAAACCATCTGAAGCCCGTCTTCCAGCAGCTTGTCTCCTAGACCCTTTCTGAAGTGATTTTTAATCTTTCAATTTCCATCTCTGTCTTGCACCTCTCTTTCTCCCACTCCCACACACTCATACCTGCTATAATAACCCACCACTTGTCTCCTGTGGTAGTCCACAGGAGACAAGTGTGCAGTCCAGGTCTGGGCTTGGGCCAGCAGTGTTTGAATGGTTGTCTACCTGTTGCCCAACATAGCAGTTCACAGCAGGATTCTGCCTTCCCTCTCGGTGGGCACACAAACCAGTATGTTTCCTCCTTGCTTGGCTTCCACTTTCAACAAGAAGTCATGAGACCCCATTCTGTCTGTTAAATAACATGGAAATTGGGCAATGGATTCAGAAGTCAGCTAGAGAGATGGGAATTGGTTTCAGAGATCTCATCAACCTTGTTTTCTTAGGAAACCATTTTAGGAAACTTGATAGCTTGAAAGCCACTGATTATAGGATTGAAAAATACATGTTTTTCTCTGTAATACAAGACTGGATTAAATAATCGTTGTTCTTGCAGATCTGATTATAGCAAATTGAGAATTTATCGGTGTTTCTATATTGTCTTTAGGCAAATTTTTAAGAAGGAGGTTAGTGCTACAATATGCAGTTCTTCCACATATCACTCAACAGTGCTGGTGTAGAACTGTAGAGCAGTCCATATGCAAACAGATTTCATTTTCAAGGGCAACAGGTCTTTCAGGGTGGGATCTTTGTAAAAATTCTTAGCCAGGATTTCAGCGTGGCTTAGCCATTATGTCCTGCTTTTGGTTTGGAGAATGAAAACTTCTGGAACGTTTTCATTAAAACTTACAAAGAGTATTTTTTGCCTCTGAGGGTAAACATGGAATCTTAAAATAACTGGTACTACTGATGAGAATAAATTTTCAAAGTAATATAAAATGACTTGTTTGTGTATCACAAGAGCCAGCGAGTGAAGCATGATTTTTGTGACATGTTGTACTTGGTATTGGAAATAATTATTATAATTAACTGTTGATGGGATTCCCTTATATGGAACTTTCAATGCATGGGATTCATCAAAATACAATTCATAAGGCTGGGGTGAGGGATATATTTTGGCACATATGATGAAATACCAGCTTGGGCAGCTGAAGTATGTTTTTGTTAGATGTTTGTCACGTTTTCAGCTTTGCGGCCTGAAAGAGCTATGTTACTTTTTTTCTCTCTAGAAACAAATACATGGACTAGTTGAACTTTTAAAGTTTTCTGGATACTGGAAGTGAGTGACATCTGAAGTTAGACAATGCATGGGATTTGTATATACAGGGTTAAAATCTTGTGGTTTTAACTATTTATAGTACAACAGTCTCAGTTGAAAGCTAGAATTATTTTGAAGATAAGAGATGCAGGATTTTGGTAATGTCTCCAACACAGGTAACTTTAAGTTTCCCCCTGAAATGACTTGCTTAGAGTATCAGTAAATCACATTCAATGAATAAAAAGCATTAATATGTAATAATTGGGAGGCTTTACCATATTTGAAAGTTCAGTTGAAAGACATAGAGAATTTTCAGTATTAAGTAGTGCATTCGGTGACTAAAATAACTGAAGTAACCTGGAAAGCCAAAATGCCAACAGAAATGCACACTCTGCAATTGGTCTATCAAAAAAAAAAAAAAATTGGTAGTTGCAGGAAATTTATTTTAAAAAATCTGGTTTGCGTCACATGAAACTGTGGAAAGAACAGCATTAACAAGATAATTTGAGGGGAGGGAGGACAGTGCTAATGATAGTCTTTATTCTTGGATTACATTAAGATTTTATGGAAAGAACTGCATGCTCATAAACCAAAGTAGAACTATGTAGTTTGCATTTTAAATAATATGTCTGTGCAGTTGGAAGTTACATTGGTCATATCCTTCCATACCATGGAAATTTTAAGAGTTCTCCCTTGTTACAGTGGCTCCATGAGCTGCTAATCATTAATGGGAGCCTACCATAAAAAAGATCCCCTTGTTACAATTAAACCCCGAATATTAAAATCAGTGACCATTTTGTGTTAATAAGCTGTATATACTACGGCACCATCAATTTTAAACTGAGAATTATTTGCAGTAGTTTACTGTTATTTACTGATAGTGAAATCTACTCCTACTTAGTATGTTCTGTAATACTGACCCCAAAAAATTAAACTTCTGGAGTATTCCAAATTATTTAAGAGTTGGTCACATATTATCAAACCTTACGGTGTATGTGTGTACCTTATATAATCACATTAGCATTACCAGTTATAGAAGAGTTATTATAGAGAATCACAGAGAATATATACTGAACAACTGCACAACTTTATACATAGTTTGGCATCATGAACCTATTTATGTTGAGCTGTAGATGTTATTAAAGCACTATGGTCTCTTTATCTACAATGTACTTTAAGAAAAAAAATTTGAACATACATAAACATGAAGATACTGTTAAAGTACTGGTTTTCTGTAGGTGTTCTAGTTACAGAGTCATAGAATGGTTTGGGCTGGAAGGCACTTCAAAGCTCATCTAGTTTCAACCCCCCTGCCACATCTTCCACTAGACCAGGTTGCTCCAAGCCCCGTCCAACATGGCTTTGAGCACTGCTAGGGATGGGGCAGCCACAGCTCCTCAGGAAAACTTGTTCCATCACCCTCACAGTGGAGAAATTCTTCCTAATCTGATATTTGGCACAAACTTCATTCCCAGTAAAGTTGCAGTGTGGATACCCCCTTCAGTGCATCACAGCAAATTGAACTTCAGTCCTTCCCTCTATGCACTGCTTCACTTTGTAATGTAGATGTTTTGCATTGTGCTCAAGTGGCAATGGAGTGGCCCTTAGGAGTGAAAGCATATAATGGGCTACTGATCTAGAGCCTTGGAAGACAGCACAGATGTCTCTTTCTTGTCTAATATAATTCTGTATAAATACCAAATTCTTGTCTCTCCTCTACATGGAAATGAGAGGAGCTCTGTAACCCCCCATTGTTTGCACCTTATGTCAGAAATAGCTACATCATTTATCTGTTCAAAGTAAAACTGTTACCTATTATTTTTAAGCATATGTTGTGTTTCTCATTATTCTTATTGGTGTGTCCTGGGCAGTTGGCTTTCATTCAGGAAAGTTAAGTATATGCTGGAAGCCATTAAGTGTATACTTAAAATTCTTGACTGGTTTGGAGTCAGCTATTAAGTGAAACGGGGTAAGAGTGGAATTCTGGTCAAATGTATGATTTGCTTCTGTTCCTTCCCCGAAGCAGGTCTCTTAATCTGTTAACAGTAGGTCATTATGCATCTTTTAATTTTGCATTTTCTGATTTCTTTTCTGGGCTTTCCTTCACACTTACAGACTCGTATGGTTTAAACCAAAGTTCACTGTTAGTACATACAGGTATAATGAGAGGATGGTGTCATGATTTTCTGCTTCAGGAAAATCTAAGTCATCTTCAGAAAGCAAAATTGAGCTGAACAGGAAGTGAACAGGAAAAAAACCCAAAACATATACTTTATAAAAGACTTTAACGTAACTTTTTGGTTTGTAACAAATTAGTTCACTTAATACAATACGAAAAAAGCACATTTCTCAGAGTTGAATATTACTCAGGGTAATGTCAGTGCTGCTATTTCTAGGGTTTTATTTTTACTGTTCACAGCACAGCAGGTAACACCATGTTTTCACTTTGACGGGAATTAAAACTGGCACTGGTATTGCCAAATGCAGTGTTGCCCTCTGAGCAAGTTTTTCATTTTCCTTTCTTTGTGAAAAACTACATGGGTGATTGTAAATTTGCAAGAGGAGATGTAGGAATTAAAGTACTCCTAGCAATTAGGTTTTGGAGCTCTGTTTTGGAGTTTTATGTTCTATTTGAACATCAGATCTTTATATCCTTTTAGATTAAAGGGTGTCTTGAATAGGTGCATTTCTTACTATTTATGCCACCTTTAACTTCTCGTAAGTAACTTACCAATTTCACTTTTTTTCCTAGTAATTTTGGGGGCATAAAACCAGAGGGCTGTGTTTATTGCTGGTTTTCAATAGTGTGCCTCCGCATATGTTTTGGAAAGCATGATTGTATTTGAGATTAAAAAAGTCACAGATAAATAGAAATATTACAATAGCTGCTGTTGAAATCATACTTTTTCGTGCAGCTAATGAATTGATGTTCTGCCATTCTATGAGATGGGCTTTAAAACATTCTCTAACAGTTTTCTATCTAAATAATGTTTATATATTTCATTATATTCATAGTACACTCAGTTTCACTGGGTACGTGTATGTGTGTTTTCTGACACAAAGAACAATACTATAAATCTAAAACTCCACATAATATATATATTCTCCAATTAGCTTTTGTGCCACAACATGTGCACGAAAAGACTTAGTAAAATATGTCTAGAAGTCTGTGGAATAATCGTTAACATATCAGCAATATTGCCAAATGACCTGAATTTTTCTTCTGTTGTATTTACATTTTCATTAATTTAATGTCCAACTCTGTGTAGCATGGCTAAGCATTTCCTTAGTAATCTGGATCTGAATTAAGAATATTCTGAAAGCTTTTTTCTTTTTTTTTTCCTTTTTTTTTTTTTTTTTTCTCCTAAGGATATGGCTCTTGTTGCCCCTGAAGCGCCTTCGGAACAAGCTAGAAGGGTTTTCCAGACATACGACCCTGAGGGTAAGGGCTGTACTTCATGTTGAAATAAGACTTTTTGTTGAAACGTACTCACTAGCAGAGACAGATTCCAGGTAGTGATGAGTTCTGCATTGTGTAGGGTATCTCTTCAAAAAAGAGGACCATCATTTTCTAAAATTTGTTCCAAATACTGCACTTTCAAATCCATTTCAAATTCCATGCCAGGGTAATACCCTGTTTATACTTGAGCTGATTAAGAGAAGAATAAAATACTTAATATGTAAGAGTAGGTGTTTTCTATATGGAAGTCAATCTACAAGTAATGTGAAGAAATTTCCTGAGGATTCTATAGTAAGGGAGGTTGCGTATAATGCTGTGGAGTTCTTGTAGCATAAGATTTTTAACCTTGTAATGTTCTTTCTAATTAACATAAAGCTTTAATATAATTTGATTTCCCTTATGTTACATTTTCTTAAAATAACTGATCCACTGTGGTTGCATTCTTCATGAAATTTTGTTCTTGAATGTATGTGGCATACACAGAAAATTTTCTTATGTTTTGGAAAGCAGATGTCTGCCATTCAGGTGCCGGTTTAATTAATCGAAAAAAAATACAGTTGTTGTCCCAAGGTATCTAGTGGAGATGGAGATTGCTATAAAAAGATTGAATTCTTAGTGAGTATTAAGCTACTGAGTGTATGAATGGATAAACAGAGTTTCTGTGTTACAGTTCTCTTTCTTTATTGAAGAGGGAGAGAAGTGTTTGAAAACTATGTTCCTTCTAGAACCTCACGCGTGTGAATTTTAAAGATAAATATATGCAATATTTGTATTTTTGAGTAAAATGTGTATTTCTGGAAAGCTTGTTTCTTTTCCTAATGAGGAGCTTTGCTACTTCTTCAGATAATGGTTTTATATCTGACTCTCTACTAGAAGACGTAATGAAGGCTCTGGACCTTGTGTCAGATCCTGAATAGTAAGTACAATGAAATTTAATTACTAAAGAGGTTTAACCACACAGTAATTATAATTTAAGGGTTTTTTTCTGGTTTCAATTAACCATGTGTCAGTTATAATTTGGGGGGGTCTTCTGGACTTTTCTAGCTTGCGTTCTGGGGGCAGTGTTATTTTAGAGTGTTTAAGTCAGCTTTAAATTAAACACGAGGAATTAAAATTAAAATGTCTAACTTTTGTAGTGATAATTAGAAACCAAAAAAACCCCTCATCTACTGTATTACTATATATTGAGGAGATAATTTTGAAGATATTCCCATATGTTGGGTGACAGTGAAACTGTGATAAAAGAGCCAAATATTCTAGGTATTCAAAGGCAGAATAGCATTGGATTAGCCCTGGATCTGTCTACACAGTTTGGAGCTGAAACTGTTTTAGTTATACTTCTGTTTTCACCAGCACTCAGTACCCTGTAGTGCTTATAATTGTCATTTGTTTCCAGAGATGACATCTTGATTTCTAGGATTAGAGTTAAAACTATCAAATGAAAAAGTTATTTATTTTAGATCTTAATGTGGATCAGGACTAATATTCAGTGGCAGCAGTTAACAGCCTTCAGTGTCAAAGCTTACCATGTTTTGCTGCTAAATGTTTAGGAGGACTATGTGCTTGAACTTTTTTACCTCTCCAAAAGATGGTTCTGCCCTTTTGAAGACACAGAGTCTAGTTTATTGGGGTCTAAACCCGTTCTTCCTGTAGAATGGCTCTGGAAACTGCAAGTTTGCTTACCACAGCTCTCTGAGATTTGATTGATGCCATTTTTTGTCCTTTCAAACGTTACTAAATACAACAAAGTTTACTGAGCTGTTCTGTATGAGGAGTAGGAGTGAAAATTGAAATCAGAAGACACCCAGGAAACTAAAACCGGAAAAAATCCAAGACCAAAAGGCTGGCATTCATAATATGTTAGTACATGGTGAAATCTGCAAAAGATACGGTAGGTGTTTTTAAGTGAGGTAAAGAAAAAAGCCTTAGTTTAATAGGTGTCAGAAGCTTTCTTTTGGCCATTTTGTTCTGCTGCCTCAGTAAATCCACAAAAATCCTCCTTTTGCATTCAGCATTTTTTCTGTTTGGATGTTCAGCCTTCAGGGTATTTGTGGCATAGCCCTGGCCTATTTTGTTGCCCATAGCACATCAAATACAAAATGGTGTAGGAGGAGCCAGTCAGAAGGTCTGCAATATTGAAAAACATGACCAAATCATCACCTCCTCTTAAATGTTGTCTAATTTGTTCGTTGTCTATTATTACTGTCTTGGGGACCTACTTAAGATGTCCTATCTGTTCCACACAGGTTTTTCTGGTTGTTTTTTGTTCGTTTGCTTGTTTTTAGGTAAAAATAAAGTCATTGCTTCCAAGTGTACTCCTTGCATTTTTAGTTCAAGAACTAAATGGAAATGCTTTGTGATCATCTAATCCAAGTCTTCGAGCTTCTCAGAATCTCAAGATGAGTAATATTCAGACCTGCTTAGAGGTTAAGAAGTATAGAAGGGAAAACTTCGTAGGGCAGATGTGAATTACCAAGGTGGCTTAGCCATTCCAGTACTCAACACCACTGCCTGTGATTTTAGTAAAATTTTCTAGTCTTTTAGTAAATACATCTAACAACCCAGGTCTCTTGTTTGGTTTTGTCTGTTTGTTTCTAAAAAAACATCTGATAATCTTTAGGGCACTGAGTTGAGTACATCTGTCAATCTAGGTTTAGCTTGTTTAAAACATTTTATCCTATCTGTCTGTTTGACTAGTGCTAGAGGCTTTTGTCCCCAAACACTTCTCATCCATTACAGTGCAATTGCCATCAGTATCATCACCCCAGTATTCATAACCTCTTCAGTTAAGATGCTAGGCCTCTTACTGAAGTGACTGGAGCATGCACATACACTTGTCTTGGTAGCTCTGCTGCAGTATCAGTAACACTGAACAGTGCTAACTATTTGCTGAATGAAAAAGCCTCAAACAGCAATCAAATTTTATTAAATCTCCCCTCCTGCTTAACTGGTTTAGCTTTTATACACTGTCCATACTTAAAAACAGCATGGCTCTGCATTTTTAAACAGTTCTTATATTTCATTAGTGAGTATATAGCTTGTTTTAATTTCATTATGGAATTTTAAGTGCATTTTCAAAGTTAACTTTACTGCCTTGGTTCTGTTTACAAACACAGTGTTTTTACAACTCTGTTAAGGATTTCGAGAATTTCAGCAGGTTTCAGACAGCTACTGAAATATCTTAAAGTGAGAGTAAGAATGAGGAATAGAAGGTTTAAAGTCCAGTATCTTGCGAATCCTCAGTTGTAGTTTCACTTGAATAGTGAAATGTCTTTTTTTTTTTCTAGCTATTAAATTAAGAGAGTTTATAGGATTATCACAATACCACATTCAGTCTTAAGAACCTTAAAACTCCTCTTCCAAGCTCCTTAATAGAGCCACTCTTGAGAATTACGTGATATATTCTGTGTGAATCGGCGCAGAAACAAAAAAAAAGCCAAGTAATTTACTGCTAGTACTATGTTAGGACCAAGAAACTGCTAAAAATTTAAAAACGAAGACATATAACTGGTAGCCAAAAGGTAAAATGCTTACCTGCAGCAGTAATCGAAAATATCTTAGAAAGACACTTTCTGCCCACATACACTGGCGAAAGAGACCTAAGTGGTTAAAGGCCTACGTGGTAAAAGAGGCAGCTATGAGAAGCTAAGACGCTGTCTCCTGAAAGGAAAATGTAGTGCCTGCATGAAAAAAAATAGGGAAGAATCTATATTTATGGAACATTAAATACAAAATAAAGCAGAATTAAAATCTTCTGAAGACTAATCTGCACAGTTATAAAGTAAAAACCAGTAGTACTTTCTTTAAGCCAGTCAAAACCAGGAGACTGGAAGATGGGCTAACGGAGAAGTCTCAGTACAACAAAAGTGAACGATTGCACAGGGAATAAAACAATCCTGATTTTACATAAACATTGTTGGCCTGTGAGCTAGATGCAGGAAATACATCTTAGATTTAAACTGATTCTCAGTAGCAGACAGACATAGAGTGGGATTTCTAGAAATTATGCCATGTTATAAATGTATGATGTTTCACTCCATCTTAAAAAGAGCATTGTAGAAAGTCATCAGGCAACAAGGCTAATTGAAAGTTATTGCCATGTTATAAATGTATGATGTTTCACTCCATCTTAAAAAGAGCATTGTAGAAAGTCATCAGGCAACAAGGCTAATTGAAAGTTATTGCCATGTTATAAATGTATGATGTTTCACTCCATCTTAAAAAGAGCATTGTAGAAAGTCATCAGGCAACAAGGCTAATTGAAAGTTATTAATAATTAATATTAAGGATGGCATTAGTACAAGGAAGAACTAGGTTAGGACTGTTTGACCTGGAAAAGAAAGATAGCCATTGGCATGTAAGAGTGGTTTGTAAAATCAGGGGTTTCTGAATAAATACAAACTGATTGTTAATTGCTTCTCACAATGCAAAAATGAGGTGTTACTAAACTGAATGATCAGGTGACAGGTTCAAAACGGGAGGAGATACTTATTCCCAGAATCTGTAGTTTAATTTTGTGAGCAGAGGTTATGAAATGCCACAAGTGTATGTGGGTTCAGAGCCAATTAGGCACGTTCACGGAAAGAGGAAGTATATACTTTTGTGTTTTCTGTACTGCCTCTCACTGAAGATGTCTGAACAGCAGACTGCTGGAAATGGGGAGGGTAAACTAAGGATATCACTGTCTCTCTTGTTGTACTCTATCATAAGCATCCACTACTGACCAGTGTCAGAAAGAGCATACTGGCAAGACGCTCAGTCGGTCTGACCCGATGAGGACATTCTTGTGTATGGTACAACTTGTAACTTAGCCAAAAGGATAGGCAGATGCAGATAAATGTTTAAGTGATCTGATGTCTGTAGAAATATATTGCTTAAATAGAAATAAAAAGTTAGAATTGACATTCATTTGTAGTGACCTGAAATGGTACCAGATTCGTGCAGTAAGGCTGTCAGATTAGAACTGTAAATATTTTCATTATTTATTGGGTTTGGCTTCTTCGATATCAAGGATGTGATGTAAATAAGAAATGTATCTGTTAAACTCTAATTTTATTTCAGTGTACTTAGAGAAAATCTTGGAGGTTTTTCAAGTCTCCATTTAAAAACAGGTTGCTTGGCAGTTACAGAGCTGTATTTGAAAGCTGACTGGTTTATGTCTCTTAAGTTCAAGAATGCTTCCAAGATAGCAAAACACCTTTTGGGTTGTAAACCTGGTTTTAGATTATATGGGTTTCAAATTATTTTACCAAATATGGTGGTCCTTCAGAATTAGCACTTACTTAATTTAAAATAACAAATTACTTTTATTTAAAAATAACTGTGTTTTGGCAACTTGCATGCCATTCTGGTGCAGTTGTCACGATTAAAAATAGGATGGTTTTGCTATATTTGGCAGCCAGTACTGTGGTAGCACAGCGTAACTTAGGCAATAATAAAAATGTCTTACTCATACTTTTATATTCAATGTTTTTGTCACAGTGTAAACCTCATGAAGACCAAATTAGACCCAGAAGGACTGGGCATCATATTACTGGGTCCCTTTCTGCAAGAATTCTTCCCTGAGCAGGTATCAGTAGCACTTTATTGCTGCAAAGCATTGTCTATTCTTGTATTTTTGATTCATTAAACACTTCCATCAGTATCACAGAACTGTTTCTAATAACAAGTATTGCATTCAGAACAGCTGACCAGCAAATGATTTCTTGTATTGTACAACAAACTGGAGGCTTCCATTTTGCATAAGTTGTCCATGATTTTGTCAGCTTTATACTGGAAGGAAACTCCATTGTAGCAACAAGTTCCAAAATCAACTTCAGGAAATATATGATCAGTTTGCATTTGAAACTGAACTGGTTCCTTCCTCAGAAAGTTCACATAAATTTGTTTTTTCTGAGAATAAATGACCATGCTGTTTTTTATCATTCTTGTCTGCTGTAATTGCTAGCAAATGGGAAAAGATTACAAGCATCTTTAAAACTATTTTTATTGTATCTCTAATAATGTAAAATTTTTGACAGTTTAACAAAAAGTTGTGTTAGAGTTATGCTTAGCATATGTGGAAGTCAGTGTGTGTGCCAGGGTAATGGAAAATTCCAGAACAGGGAGCTGGTCCAGATGGGAGCTCTCCTTGGAGGTTTATGGAGGTTTGTGCCATGGCCATGCCAGTGCTTCTATCAGCAGAAGGGGGAAAGTTTCTCCAGGGACAGAAAGATAGGCTGGTGGAGGCAAGAGAAGGGCTGAGAGGAGTACTTCTTTCGAGGCTTTTGTAGAAATGAAGATGAGTGTCTTTCTCTAAAACAGTGTGAGGAAACAGATGCTAGTGATAGTTGGAATTGTTAATGTTTCTCTTTATACAATAACACATAGCTAGTGCTGAGATATAGATTTGATTCCTTCTTTGATGCGAATATTCCAAACCCCATTCTTACTCTCTTAGAAAGTGCTAAATGCCACCTCAAAAGCAGGAAGGTACCTCAGCTTTCCTGTTCAAAGCTGTTGGCTTAAACAAAGATCATTCAGCCTGAGAGAGCAAGCCTGACTCCTTAGTGCTGTTTTGGGCAGTCGCTTGGAGAGAGGGATTCCTCAATTCCCTGATAGCCCACTATTTGGGAAACAATTGCTGCACAAAATTCTTGACATCCATGGGGCAGGAACTGGAAAGCAGCACTTCTTTTCCTTCAGGATGAGCATACCTTCCTTGGTGAGCAGAATAAGTGTCCTCATGTCTTCCCAGCAAAGCTCGATTTTATTTATCTCTGTGAAGCAATTTCTGTGAGTTACTACTTACTATTCCTTTTCACCACCACCCCTCCACTGAACAGCTTGTGTTGCTGTGAGAGACCCATACAGAGATAAGGGTTTTGAATCATGCAAGAGGAGAAAAATGAATAAGGGCTTTTTGTAATCTGATGGATATACTGTAACCCAAGTAGATTTTTCTCATTCCAGCCTTTACCTCAGTCTGCTTAAAAAAATGATAAGCTTTTGTTTGGAGCCTGGTCCACTAGGCATAAAAGAGATTGTATTGCACCTGATTTTTTTTTCCTGATTCAGTGAAATGCAAAGCTTTTCAGTCCTTTTAGGACTAAAGCATTTAAACACCTGGAATTGTAAAGGTGACAACTGCAGCACATCTGCTGTTAGGCCTCAGCTGAACAGGTGTTTTCACAATGAATTTACAGTTAAAGTAATTTACAGTTAGGCAAGTGCAGGTGTAAGTTACTTCTTAGCCCTGAAATGAAGGGCTGGAGATAGGATCTGGTCCTTAGTAAATATTTAGCTTTGTAGCATCCAGACAGTCATAAATACACACAAATATGGCTAGTACATAAGGTGTCTGACTTTAAAGATTAGGATGGTTTCTACATGGTCAGTGCTGAAGTTGTGGTTTAGAGTGTCCAGATGTACACAGAAAATCATTACTTGCTTTTGGAGTATTACTTATTAATTTACTGACTTTTTTTTATTTCTAATGAGAAAGGTAAGATGAACAAAATTTTCATGTCATCTTAAAGAAATTGTACTTTTTTCTACGATGTCCTTGAGTCTTCCTGTTTAAATGCACCTGTCTCATAAAGAGAAACAACAATGTATGTGTCACATGAAACTCTTCTTTGTACTAGGACTCTAGGGTTTCGGAGTCATTCACTGTTTACCATTACAATGGACTGAAGCAATCGAACTATAATGAAAAGGTAAGATTTAATAAACTCAAATCTAACCCTAATAACAACTGGCATGCAAAACTGACTGTAGTTACAGGCAAAATACTCAAAACTGGTTTTACAAAACTACTACTTCAGCAATTTTATTCCAAAAGGATATCTTTGGAATTGGAAACTGTGTTGTGCTCCTGAACAAATCTTAGGTAGTGTACTGGACCAATTGGCTAATCTACCTCTCTCTTTAAGCTGCACATTTTGAATAGAGCATTTTCAATCCTTATCCATGAGAAGTGGTATCTGAACTGTAAAGGGCAATGGAGTCACACAAATTGCAACATGTATAAGTAACCCTACATCTCAAATGAGATTTTTGGATTTTTTTTTGTGCTATATTTTAGTAGTCCAGATTTGCATCAAAAATCAATATTTTTTGGAACCATGGGGGGCAGGAGTGGGGAAATGACAAGTTTCATTTTCAGCTTTCTTGGAAGAAAGAGTGCACATGACACACCAGGACTGCTTTTATGTGAGTTCCTGAATTAGCATTTAGAGTAGAAGAGTGTTAAGGCATTCATAGACATGGGGAACAAAAATGGCTTCAAGTGAGAAGGCATAGCTTGGATATGAGTCCTTAAAATTACTCCTGTGAAATCTTCAGCAGTTTCATGCACAAAAATGTAGGCAAATGCATTTATTTTTGCTATTGAACATATACACATAATCAAGAAAATTTAAACAAATTTTTGTTTTCTGAGGATTCTCCCTATAGCATTTAAAATACTGTTTTCTGAAAAGAGCTGGTTTACAACAGAAGTTGCATTTTATGGCAAATCAAAACTCCATAAAGTTAAGTCTAAGAAACACTTCCCTTATGAAATAACTGTTTCAGTCTTTGCAAGTGCAACAGTAGTAGAAGATCTGTTGTCACAGAATTTTTGCGTTGCATTTTCTTATTTAATTTTTATACCAATTTGGGCCTCAACTGTTGAATTAACAATGGAATGAATATGGCCTGATCAGGGTTTTCAGGCACTTGAGTTTTGATAGATTTTTTATTTTTCATACCTAATTTCATTAAAAGAAGAAATAAAAAGTATATAAAATTTCATGGATTTAATCCTTGTAATCAAAAGAAAAAAGTGTCATAACAAACCGTTTCCTGCCCAATGAAAATAATCATCTCACCTTAAGTGTTCTTAAACAGCCATGGGCTGCCATAACTGGTTTCATTTTGGCAGGTCATGTATGTAGAAGGCACAGCTGTTGTTATGGGTTTTGAAGAACCAATGCTGCAGACGGACGACACTCCTGTAAAACGCTGCTTGCAAACCAAATGGCCATATATCGAATTACTGTGGACCACAGATCGATCACCTTCCTTGAACTGACAACGTAAAACCACGGGATCTTTGAGGAAGATACAAGGAGTGGTATTACTTGGAAAGTGGTTTGTTTTGACTGTGTGGAATTATACACTGGTATCATTGATGAATTGTAAATAATGATTACAAACACTTTTTCAGTGTTAATTGGAATATTTAATTTTTTTATCAGATTGATTTCTATTATAATAGTTTGTCTTTTTTGGCCACTGTAGTACTGTTAATGTGAGTTATCCTTAAAACAAAAAAACCCTAAAGTCTTAGCATTATTTTGCCATCTCATGAAGATTTGAAAAATGTCTGATACTGCAGAATCTGCATATTAGATGTCAGATCTTTAAAACATGAAACATACTCAGCTTCCTCTGAATCATATAAGCATGTTCTATTATTTAAATTATATTGGCTTACATTACAGTACCATAATGTGTGGACTAGACTGGCCTTTGCACTGGATATGTTTTAATGAGTTTAAATTTTTTGCAATTTTACCTGAAATTGAATTTTACCTAAAGAGCTTGCACAATGTCACATCAATATGATACATCTTTAGGAATATCAGTAAGTATAATTCATAAATACTCTTTCTTGGCAGTTGTACATTACTGTGGCTTAGTTATCAGGCATGTTAAAAGTGAGCAAAATCTGAGGAAAAATAGATGTATTAATATTTATTTGAATTTGTATAAAAGAAATGTAAAAACGGCGGAAAGAATTTCTTGTTCTATAATCCTTTAACTATTCAAACTTATAATATTGCCAAATACCTCTTTTCAGTTTGTCCAAACAGCAGTGTAAGCCAGCGTTACTGTATGTGTTAAGTGCATGAGAACATCTGTTATTACATTATTATATTCCTTTATTTATTATCAACTTGTTAGCCCTAAAATAAAATCTTTTCCTTGAATCATGATGTTATAAGTTTGGTTTTAATCAAACTTGTTCCCTGCTTCTCTAAGATACTGAAAAGGGAACATGGGTTTATAAATGTCAGGTTTTGAGTTGAGCACATCTCGGGGTGGGGAAGATATTTTACTGCATCTTGACAGTGATTGCAGAGGCTCTGCTATTGCCAGCGGGGCTTGATTTAACATTCAGAGTTGGTAATTTTTAAGATTCTATTTTCATATGTAAATAACGATATAACTCCAGAATGATCATCATGCAGGAAAACAAACTGATTTTGGTTGAAAATGAGGTATGTAGTTTTGGGGGGGAAACCCTTGTTGGAGAATGTGCACTGTAAAGCCTGTGGTAGTGGTGGAAAGAGAACATCCTGTGTGTGACCCTTGCAGAAATGTCCTCTGCAAGACTGTACAATGTATCATGTTTGCATCTGGAAGTGGGGGAACAGTATAGATCTGTGGTGGTTGGCCTTGACTGGTTGCTCTAGCATGAACTCCTGCCTCCATGGGGCCACAAGTCCTTCCAGGAGCCTGCTCCAGCAGGCTTCCCACAGGGTCAGAGTCTCCTTCCGGGATCCTCCTGCTCCAGTATGGGGTCCTCCCCAGGCTGCAGGTGGGTATCTGCTCCACCATGGATCTCCATGGGCTGCAGAGGGGAACAGCCTTCTTCACCACAAGCTGCAGGGGGACGACCTGCTTCACCGTAGACTTCAGGGGAATCTCTGCTCCCATGCCTGGAGCACCTCCTTCCCTCCTTTGTTGCTGTCTTTGGGATCTGTGGGGCTGTTTCTCTTGCATATTCTCACTCCTCCCTCCCAGCTGCCCCACAGCATTTCTCATGCTTTGTTAAACTTGTGATCACAGAGACACCACCAGCTTTCCTCAGCTTTGTCAGGCAGCAAGTCCATCATGGAGCCAGCTGGAACTGGCTCTGTGCAACATAGGGACAGCTCCAGGTGACGTCTCACAGAGGTCACTGGTGAAGTCCTGCCTCCCCTCAGCTACGAAACAGGTTCAATGAGGACTTGTTTAAAAATGAACTTCTGAAATTCCTGTGACCATTCCTAACTGCAGAACTCGGCAGCTGCCTTAACTCTTTTGGAGATCTCCTCTTCTAGAAAAAACAATTCCTTTGCAGGTGACAATAATGTGAAGAAATTCCTTAATTCATCTTCTCTAACCCACTTAACTTAGTATTTGGTCTTGCTGTGTGGGCCTGATGCTGAAAGTCTTGTGTGAGAGTAGTTGCACTGAAAAGCATATGGATAATTAAAGCAGATTCTCTTCCTCTGGACTGCCTGGCAAGTCTGGAAATTTACTTTCCCTAAAATAGGCTTGACAGATACTTGCTTTAGATGGTTTTGCACAGTTAATGTCTTTAGGTAGACTTGCACCAATGCCTTGGAAGGTGAAATGTCACTTCTCTTGCTCTTTTTCCTGGATTCTGCCATTTGTCTTGGCTTGTAATAGACTTGAACAACACAGCCTGCACTGAATCACAGCCCGTATCTGTTAGAATGAACATCCTTTTTCTAGTCCACTGTCAGATACAATTTATGTTCTGTCTCACAAAACAATAAATAAAACTGAAGATTCCCAGCTGAGACCTGTGTGTAAGCATTAGTTTGGATTAAAACTTCTGTCACACTCCAGAGAAATGTAGATGATGCTTAATGTGGTATAAGAACCCTTATTCCTGTATCTTTTTGTTCTGCCCAGTTATTTGAGACCTGGCTTCTGGTTTACTTCTTGTATTTTTGACTACAGAGGCTAACAGTGCCTAGTGTAACTAACAGTGGTGAATGGAACTTGGCCAGCTCATCCAAGAGCTGCAGCCAAATGAACCTTCCTGTCCTTTCCTCCCTGATGAACAAGATGGGATAGATTCTGACTTTATGGAAATTCACCTTTTGTCCCCTAAAAGAGTGTGGTTGTTTAGAAGGCAGACTTATAATATGGGGGCATTAATGTCTAGTTTGCTTCCACAGAAAAATAACCAGAAACCTATATAATTTTCAGAGGTTGTACCGCTCTAAGTGCCAAAAACATAAGCTACATATGTGTGTGTATATATATTTATGTATTGCAGTTTGCAAATTGAGGCTTAGTCTGTAAGTCTGCAGCATTCCATGGAATTAAATACATGTTCTAACTAACCAGAGCAAATTGATGCTGCTAACTGTAAAGAAAGCACATAAACAAATTTGCAATTAAATGGTATTTTGATTACTACTGTAGGTGAATGACCTTTTTTATGTATTTCACAGTGGTTCAGTTTAAATTGCCAAATAAAGGTCAGTATCTTCCAAGAGACAACTGGTGTCCTAAGTGCAACATGGTATTAGCGGGCCTTGGATAACTGGTCCAGAAAACTGGGTTCTCTGTCTCATGTCTTGAAGCCCTGTGAGACAGAAAATTGTTCAGCGAGGTGCTGGTGCCTCTTTACTTTAAACTTAACTTCCATAAAAGAGATGAAGGCAAAGAGGTCTTGGGGTCAAGTGCTGGTTGAATGGTAAAAGACAAATTGTTACTACTTTTTATACTGGAGTTTACAATCAGGCACTCTGAAAAATTAGCTAAATAAATAATGGAAAGACTACTGCCAGTGCCTCATATTAGCCCAGGTGAGTAATATTTGAAGGCTCAAGGCTTATGTATATTTTTGCTTTGTTAAAGCCTGAGCTATTCAAGGTAAACAGCCAGTATACATCCAAATGTAAATATTCTTAAAATCCACATGAAGACCCCTTTAAAAGAGTGAACCACTGAAGCACTTGCAAAGCACTTTGGTTTTAAATACTTCTGCTGAAGTTCTTGGCTATATCTTTCAGACGGTTAGAAATAATGTTTATCCGAGCCATTTGTATGCTTTTAATTGTCTCTTTTTGTTGTGGTGATGAGTCTAGGGAAAAGGAGCCCAAGACGGTGCTGGATAGAGTAGGCAAGTGATGCGGGAGTAAAATCCATTATGGTAGCGAAATGGGTATGTCTACACAACAGTTCATGAGCAGGAACAAGAACCTCCACTACTACAATGCATTCCGCAGTGCATTTGTTGTCTCACTGGATGACTGTCTCCAAATACAAAATACAGTACAAAGACAAAATGCTGCCTATGTAATGGCTCCAGTTACAGTTCTGGAGAAAACTTCCTACCTACAGAAACAAAACTAGGAAACAACTAAGAGAAAAGGTAAGGTTTCCCATGGGAATTGGACTCTTAAGTTTCTGTACTGACACCTTTTGGAAAGATTTAATGGTAAAATTGTAATTAATTTTAGAAATATTTGTGTTATAATCCCGTATTATTCCTTGAAATACCCTTCCTCTGCCAGCAGGTACATTACTGAATAAGATCAAAGCTTTCATAGTAGAGCCTTCTATGAAATACTAATATATAAGTTTTGCTTCAACAAAACTTTCCACAGAAGCCTTGACTGATCTACTTTTAAGATTGGAAACACCATAATGACCTCACCTACTGCACATAATATGTGGAAATCCACAATATGAATCTTGCATTTTTCTGCATATATTATTTGGTCCCACATGTGACGTTCCAGCTATTCTGTAGGGTAGATAATGATTTTTGGACTCTAGGCCAAATGTTCTTACAAAAGCTGTCCGTCCTGGCTCCAAGTCATGTCTAGACTCTATCAAGACTTTTTAGTTTAGTATTGCAAGCAGCTAATGTACAGGTCACAGGTACACTGAAGACCAAACTTCAGCCTACCAACAACGGGGGCAGCTGCTTCTTCTTGAGCAGCACAGGTCACAACGTCCAGTCCAAACATTTCTAAAATCTGAGGAAAACAAAGTCTGGAATAAGCTTCCACTGATCAGAACAGGTCCAGGTTATTTAGGGAAACACTGCAAATCCTTCAAAAACTAGAAAGGTTATTCTTTCAGTTTATCTTTTTGAATTAATTTGGAATATTCTACACTCTCATTTCTTAATATGAAGAAAAAGGAAACAGGTATTGGGAGAGTGTTGTGCTAAAAGCAAGACATAATTATTACTTAGCAAAGGCAACACAACTTTCAAATGCCTTCAGTTGCCTTTTAAGAGTAGGCATTAACCTAGTAACAAGTAATTGGGGTCCTTCTGAATTTATTACTGGTGCTTAGATCTTGTTCAATGTAAAATAACAAAATGATGGTGATTTTTCACTTTAACAGCAAGAGTAAAGTCAGCACAAATGTAAGGCTAGCAGAATTAAGGATATTACAAGCCTGTGGGGACAGCTAAGGGTCACACTGTTAATGCTGGAAATAAACACACTGTTCTATTTTTGTGAACAGGAATGTCAGTCTTATCTGAATAATCTTGCCATAAAGCACTTAAAATAAAATAAACACAAAAGTAAAGAAAACAGAACCTCAGAACAAAACAAACTAGTCTCAGCTGCTTTCATAGGTATGCTCTATTATGGCATATTTATAAATGAGTTCTCTGATCTTTCTCTGATATTGCTTTGGACACATCTGTATTATAAAAGCTGAAAACAATCCTTTCTTTCCTCCTAATGGAGTTGAATACACAGAAAGTAAAATGTTTCTCCTTCATATCTTTGAGTTGGCCAGAAAAAATACAAGAAGGCTGTGTCCTCCAGATGTTGGTGTGATCCTTCATTAGCTGTGCAGCATTTCAGGCAGTCAGGTTTTACATATTCTTGACACAACCAGCTAGAATACTACTGTGGGCTTTGCAAGGTCAGAACAAATCAAGACAGGAGTTACACAGCTTTGTTGTTTTTAATTGCTTTTATGAAGAAAGAGGAGCTTTCTAAAAGCTCTGTTCAGCATCAGATGCAATAAAGTGGTATTGGTTATTTCAGTGGGAAAAGAGGCAGGACACCTGTCCCTGCACAGAGCTGTGGTGAAGAACTACAACAGTGCTTTCCTTCTGCATCAGTGTAAGGTGCCCCCTTCAGCATATTGAAACTCCGTGTAGCCAAGAAAGCACTAACAGAGCAACTTACAGAGGAATGCATTTCCTAAT